ACGTTTATTTTATTTTTGGGACAGAGAGAGACAGAGCATGAACGGGGGAGGGGCAGAGAGAGAGGGAGACACAGAATCGGAAACAGGCTCCAGGCTCCGAGCCATCAGCCCAGAGCCTGACGCGGGGCTCGAACTCACAGACCGCGAGATCGTGACCTGGCTGAAGTCGGACGCTTAACCGACTGCGCCACCCAGGCGCCCCAAGATGTCTTTCTTTTAAAACCCCTCTGCACGAAGATACAGTCAGAATATGTGGTAAAACCTTGAGCTGAACTTCAGCATGAATAAACCGTGTGGGAGAGATACCTAAGTGTAGCCTGGGGCTAGGGTTCTGGGTTGGCTGGTCCCTGGGGCCCGAGGCACTCCAGCAAGAGAGCTGCTGGCCTCTTTGCATAAACACAGAAACCATCCCTGCCCCAGAAAGGCCACACTTCCTTTTCGTGTGTGTGTTTACACGCGGCTCCTGTTTGTGGCTAAAGCTTCCGTAACCAGGCAACCGAGGAAGGGAGTTGGGGGACGGGATGGATAGGATATCACTGGGGTGGGTTTTATGTCACAACTGTGAACGCCTGTCCTCTCCGTCACAATCCTTACCGACCGTTGCACATGTCGCGTGGGTATTTAAGAAAGCCATGCTTGAGCTTCGTGACCACAAGGCCTGGACTTGACCCGAGTCCTCCCATAAGGACAAGTTCAAAAGCAGGGAGAGAAGAAATGCCACATTCAAGTGTTCCTTTTGGGGTCATTCTATATGTTCATTTCAAATCCTAAAGATTTGATGAAGCACGTATTGATTGAGGGCCCATCAAGTGCAGAGAGCACCTTCTCAACCTTCCAGTGTCTCCTTTCTAGCTGCAGAATCGGGGTTGGGGTGTTGGGGGTGCCTGGTGGTTCAGCCGGTCGAGCATCTGACTTCGGCGCAGGTCGCGATCTCATGGTTTGTGGGTTCAAGCCCCACGTCGGGCTCTGTGCTGGCAGCATAGAGCCTGCTTCAGATTCTCTGTCTCCTTCTCTCTCTGCCCCTCCCCTGCTCATGTTCTTTCTTTCTCAAAAGTAAATAAACATTAAAACGGGGGGGGGTTGGGGAGAAAACACACCCCTTGAGCATACGTCTCCTTCAGGCATCTCTGCTCTCCCCCATGTACCTCCAGCAACTCAAAAATAAGTCCTGTGTGAACATAGGTGACTCATTCCTCCACACCTACCCATCCAGCTTTCCCTGCCAGAACACTCCAGGAGGTTCTCTGTTTCCGAGAACCCCTCTCGTGCAGCAGGGTCCCCTCCTTAGGCCTTGTGTGGAAGAAGGCAGGTGCAGGGGAGGGAAGGAGGAGGTGGTCAGGGGATGGCTTTACAGTGAGATAGACAGCTAGTTCTCTGGTCTGTGTGCTCTTAGCCTCACTGCACGGGGACAGACCCCCCAGGTTCCAGCCCACCTTCGCGGGTGCAGTGAGGGACAACTTCCCAGAACCACGGTTGCTCCTAGTCCCGGCCACCTGAGCCACAAGGGAGAGCCCGCCTTCTCTGTGCCGAGCCAGTGGACAGCGTTCCTGGCCCTCCTGTCTCCAGCAGCTTCTGTCCTGGATCCTCTGTATCGGTGAGGATGCTGTGAATCCCCCAAAGGAATATTT